GGGGGGGGGGTCTATTAGATAGCAACTTGTACCTCTTGATTTTGAATATTTTACGAATTGCTTATATCATAGTACCACGTTGTCCTCCCTTCTAGCTCATCTCTTAATCATGGTCTCGTCGATATATGGGCGTGACCCAACAAGTTCAAAATCTAAGGATACTTTTAAAGTTAGTTGAATACACAGAGGCAGTGGCATACGCAAGATTTTTTTTAAGCAGTGTCACCATTAAAGTGACAGGAATAGTTCAAGAAGAAAATTAATGAAGATTTTGTTTTAGGCCTCCCAAAATTTGATGCCCCATTAATAATGAAAAAATATTTTCTTAAAAATATAAAATTTAAATTAAATTTAATTTTTTTTAAAAAATTGTTTATTCTTTAAATTAGATAATATTTTAAAATTTTAAATTAAAACATTTACATCTTCATATTATTAAATAAAGTTTAATACAACATTATTTAACCGATTGTATTGCAAATAAATGATTAATAAAATTATTATTATGAACAAATAAAAATTCAAGCATATGATAAAAAAAAATAGAATAGAAAGAAAATATTGATATGATGTGGAGATTCGAGATGCCAATAACGATGATTGATGAACAAGAACAGAAAGAAAATTGAAGAAACTCACAAGAATATACAAATACAAGGATAGGAGTCAACACTATTTTTATTTAACTATAATTCTAATTGATGAAGGACTCAAAGATTTTGAGTTTTATTTTAATTCTAAAAATAAAAAAGAATAGTTAAATTTTGAATGAATTAGAGTGGGTCAGAAGGTTTTTATTTTTTAATGAACTGTTTTGAATTTAAAACAAAAAATTAATAAATTTAAGAAAAGAAAAAAATGAAACGTGAAAAAAACAAAAGAAAACGCGCATAAAAACCACACGTCGTATGGGATCGAACTCAGGACATTGATCTTTGTATGCAGCGTCTCTGCCACCTGAGCTAGGAGCACTCTGTTATAAGGGTTGTCCTTTTAATTATTTTACCATTTAGTTTGTTTTTTTTATTTTTTATATAGGTATATTCCGTAAAAAAATTCGACGAAGCCGTGTCACATGACACACCTTAGATGTACTTAAATCCGCTCCTGCACAGAGGAAAAATTCTTGGTACGGAATGCTTCACCCCAAATGGCCCTACGCAGTTGGAAAAATCCATATTAAGGCTAATGCATGTAATTAAAGAAGATGACATATTTTAAGTGGTGTAGGTGCTACATAATGAATGCTTGGAACACTTAAAAAAAATAATCAAAAATTATGAGTCAAAAGTAATGTCTAAAAGAAACACTTTATCACGTGTTCAAGTGTTTAATCAAAACATGTCGTAATTTAATTGACTATCTAAATAAAATTTACAGGTAAGTTTAAAGGATTATCGTTGTATTGCGTCGTTGAAGTTTAAACATACAGTTACATGGGAGAGTAGGCAAAATAGCCACCTTAAAGACTTAATGTGACATTAAGTCACAAGTCTTGAATAATTTGTGGTATACCCACTATTAATGACATCATCCACATGCCCTAATTGGCACATACAAAATACCTCACTAAGTTTCCATATCTCCACTTTGATCTCCCCCTTCTTTTCCAACTAATTTGGAATAATATATTTATTTTCAATTGTTAAAATTTATATTAGAAAAAAGAAAAAAGCCTCCAAACGGAAACAAGAGCAGCTCATTGTTCCTGCTGTCGATTTGTCGATTTCGGTGAATTTTTCTACTGTAATATCCATTTCCAAGGTAAAATCATCATCATCTCCTACTCCATATTCATATTTACTCCATTTTCTTTCAAAACCCAAGCTTCAAAATTAGTTTCCCAACATTATAGAAATTTGAGAAATCTTCCATAATAATCACTTGATAACTCATTATAGATACATATTAGTAGTTTAAAAGCATTAAAATCTATTTCGCCATTGCAGGAGCTGAATTTTAAACCCGATCTCATTCAGTCGCGTTTTTGTACGGATTCCGTACCTCATAGACTAATACTGTAATATATTATCGATATTTGTAGTCTATAATAGCAATAGCTGAATTTGTTGTTGCTGGTGGAGATTATATGTGAGTATGGTAGGAGACTCCCAAGAGTTGGAATTGGAAATCTTTTAGTAAGACGATAGTGCCCATTGCGTTGCGTTGCAATGGTTCATATGACGATATGATTGCAAGCGTAATTGAGGCCGGTGAGTTAACTTGCGAGCCAAATGACTTGGTGATTAGTTGTCAAATGAATGGAAGGGGAAAAATACATCCCACATTCATAAAAAATGATTGGCACATTAGCTTGTACATGTTAGATATTGATATTGATGTCTCTAGGCCTATATTGAGGATACACGTCAATGCGAGGCCTCCAATTTAACCAACAAATTCATTTGACGACAACAATAATTCTATTGGAAATGAAAGATTGGGAGATCATTCAAAGGAGAGCTTGGGTGATCATTTAAATGAGAGTTTGGGTGATCATTCAATGAATATACATGATGATCCACCTAATGTGGAAAATCAGTCAGTAGATCCAAAAGATCCCGAACGCGAATGTTGTGAAGAAATGCAGGGAGAACAGGAATTGAGATCACAATCCAACCATTCCTTCTCCGATGGAACTAATTTATGCATAAATCAAACTTTCAATAACAAGAATGAGTTACAATTGTTATTAGCCAAAGCGGTGGGGAAGAAGTGTTTTGATTTTGCTACTTTGAGGAGTTGTACTAAATATTTAAAGGTGAAATGTGTATTTCAGAATTGTGCATGGATGTTGCGGGCGAGGAAATATGAGTGTTCGAATAGATTTCGTATCTACAAATACATTGGTGAGCATAGTTGCGGCGTTGAGCATGCCAATAGTAGCCATAGAAAAATCTCAATCAAAGTTATTGTTTCACTCAGTGTAAATATGTATCGTGATGGTAAGGGTCCAAATGTTAAAGAGATTGAAAGGGCTATGTTTAATTCTTTTCGTTGTAGTCCAAGTTATTGGAAATGTTGGAAGGGAGGTGTGGTTGTCAAGGAAATGGTCCGAGGGACAACGGAGAACAGATATTCATGCTTACCAGCTTTTTCCTACATGTTCGAGACACTTAATGTTGGTTCTAGTTATTCTATCATGGTAAACAAGGATAATCATAGGTTTATGTATTATTTTTTGGCCTTCGGTGCTTGCATTAAGGGATTTGCCCACATGAGAAAGGTAATTGTGATTGATGACACTCATTTACATGGTTAATACGAGGGCGTGTTGTTAAGCGTTGTTGCACAAGATACGAACAATCATGTTTATCCAATTGTTTTTTGTATCGTGGACAAAGATATTAATGCATCTTAGACATTCTTCTTTGAGAAATTGAAGGAGATTGTGGTCGATGAATCGAATTTGTGTTTTATCTCCGACAGACATAAGAGCATCGCCAACGCCATTGTGAATGTTTACAATCATGCTCACCATAGATATTGTATGAGTCACCTCGGTGAAAACCTCTGTGTAAATCATCATTGTGAAGATTACTTTTATCTTTATTACAATGCGGCAAAGGCTTATTCTTTGGAAGAGTTTGACAATCATTTTGTCGAATTCAAGAACAAATGTCCCGCGGCAGCTGTCGTCCTTAAGTATGATATAGGTTTTGAGAAGTGGAGTAGGGCATATTTTCCTGGCAGTAGATATGATGTGATGACCACAAATTTCGCCGAGTCACTCAATGTTATGTTGATAGACGAAAGGTAGTATCATGTGGCATCAATATTTAATTCGATTGCTAAGAGGTTTGGAGAATTGTTCAGGGAGAGGCCTCCATATATCCTTAAATCAATGGGTAATCAAATGGTGCCTTCTGCAAAAAAAATCGCAAGAAGGAAAATGATCGAGGGCCACTCCTTATATATGGAGAACGTAACTGGGGATGGCAATCAATTTACCGTGTTCGGTGCAGGTGTTACTGCCTATGTGGACCAACTGGAAAAGTCATGTTCTTTTAGAAAATATGACTTCATCAAGATACCTTGTGCTCACGCGATGGCTGCTTTGCGATCAAAGCATGGCAACGAGTATTGTATTAGCATTTATGAGTACCCTTCGCCTTTGTATAAAGTTGAATCGTTCCTCCTTGCATACTTAGATTATATTAATGTTGTCCCTCTCTAGTTGGAATGGTGTGTGCCAGAAGAATTGCTTAATGTGAAGATTTTTTCGCCTCTTGTCGATACCAAACTTGGAAGAAAACGAAGAAAACGTGTCAAAGGTGTCGATAAGAATTTCAAAATCAAGAGAAGGAACAAATGTTCAATTTTCAAGAGAACCACATGTGTGAACAACAACAAATCTTAATTAAGCTTGGTTGGATATGTTGATTGAATTTGTTTTTGTAATCAAGCTACTCTTTTTTTTGGCAGCCAGCATTTTGATCAATTGTTATTATCGTAATTACTCATAGTCTAATATAGATCAATCAAAAGATGACATACATTTTGCACACTATCTATTAAAGTTTATTATCGAGTCCACTCATTGTGTATTAAGCTGTGTATTATTAATATATGAAAATTCATAATATTCGTAATGCAATGATTTTAATGCATGAATTAGAATATGATTTTAATGCAATGATCTATGTATAACTAATACAATCATTATTTGGATATACACTCTATCAAACGAATCCATAAAGAATTGTCAAAAAATCAGATGTTACCATTGAAAAAGTAGCAATTTGAATTTTTTGTACCGTTGTAAAATTTGTATATGTAAATATTTACTGGTTATCAAAATATATAGACCCTTTATACAATTGATGCATCTCTATGTGCTTGGTGTATGTATGACCAATAAGATATACACTCTGACATTAGTAAGGTATATTCGGGTTTTTATCTATTTTAAAGCATTGTCGATACTTCACCTATTAGAATCTAACACTATAGATCAAAACTAGTAGAATTTAGAAAAGACAACAATTAATTAATAATAAATTATATTTTTGAAATTTATCCAATTAAATGCGTTTAAACAAGGCATATGATCATGTAAAAGTCCACATAAATTGGGTGTGGTGATTAGAGATGTATGAGGAAGAGTTGTGGTTATACAATCAACATCCTTAGAACAATGTTTGAGAAAACATAAGTATGGTGTGCGGATATCACTTGTTTAACCACACATTGTTTATTGCCACCCCAATTTATGTAGACTCATACATGACCACATGCGTATGTTCTAAAGATGTTGATTGTATAACCACACATAACAAGTTACATCCTTAAGCCAAAACATGCAGGCTTATCATTCACACAAAATCAAATTTCCTGCAGTTTTTTGTCATTTCTCACCCGTCGCAACAACATATAATGGACAATCTGTCCATTGAACTTAAAATAATCTCAAATATGCCTCAAATGTCCAAAGCAAGTACCCTTAAATTCATTATAAAGATTTTGTTCAACCAGAATTTTTCTAAAGTCACGATAAACTGTCATCCTTGATCTTACAGAGATCTTTGTTGAAAAAGATCCTCATCTAACCACGTTGCTAGGTCATACAACTCACCAGAGATATCTCTTGCACAAATGGGCAAGGATAGATGATCTTCCTAATCTCGACTAGTGTCTCTACTACTCTCCTCAACATTATCACTACCATCAGCACTATTGTCCTGATAATTGTCAATCCCCGCCATTATTTTCATTTGTGAATCAGATTCGGGTTCTTCGACTGCAATTTCTTTCTTTTTACAAGTTTTCAAAACTTGTTCAGCCTTTCGTTTTTTAATGCTAGAGCAATTGGAGCAGATGGTTTAGTGCTTCCTCCTCTAGTTTTAGCCATACTTTATAATCTACAAGCAAAAACATATTTATCAACCCACTAGTTTATTAACATAAACAGAGTAAACCTCAAATAAAGCTTGCAAAATTAATAGCAGATCCAACAGAAATCAACAATGCTATTGACAGAAACGCCACTAAAGTCGATCAAAGTTTAGTAAATATTTCAAAATCAATAGGCGAGATAAACATAAAAAAAATAATTTAAATAAGCAATCAAATAGGGCTATATATTCAAATACAAACAAAAACGTCATTAGAGACAACAAATACACTGAATACAACGAAAAAACTTCATCCCAAACAAGAACATCAACAAAAACAATCCAAAAAAAGGGGTCATTACATCATTACACTACCATAAAAAAATAAACAATCAAATATGGACAATAATTACCGAAGAACACCATTACAGAAGGTTCAACTTACCAAAGACGAGGGCTTTAATTTGATCTTGGGGAAGAAGTTTGAAAAAAATAGATGATAATTTGAGAGGGGTTTAGGACGATGAAAAGTGAGAAAAGTTTGTATAAGTTAATGGAAGAGAAGCGTATGGGGAAGAGTAGCATATGATTACACTGGAAGAGAAGTGTATGGGGAAGATGAAAAGCCCTTGCACTTGGAGAAGAAGAAACGTTGAAACAAATATTCAGAAAAGTGCCTCGATTTTCATCAATATATAATATTTTATCAGAATATATTATTTTTTAAATGTATTGGGATTATAATATATTTTTGTAACGTTATATTTTTTCCCCAAGTTTTAAAAATAATAAATAAGCTCATGACCCCACATTCACAAATATACCCCAAGTTTTAAAAAGGCCAAAGAGACCTACGACCCCACACTTTTTCCTTTTTAAAAAGCCCAATCCTAGAAAATAAAGCAAAAATAAATAAAGTGGGTATAAAGTAAATTAAGTTATAAAGGTGTCCCCAATGCAAATTCTTCTCCGGTTACATCACAATACATAAAATATTAGCGTATAAGTAATATACATTGTCAGTTCAAATAATTTTTTTGCTATTATCACGTTATTTCACCTGTAGGTAATATATACATTTTATTTTTCAAGATTTCAAATCTGTTATTTTAAATACTTTTAATAATATGTAAATATCATTTAAACGATGTGATAGCATAAAAAACAAATTACTCACACTATGGTATATAAAATTAATTAAACTCATAATATTATGTCTGACTCAAACTTGAGTGGTTTTAGTTAGCGACCTTGAAGCAAGTAAACGTTGTTCTTGCTTTGATTCAGAAATTTTTTATAGCAGAATCATATACTAATCCAAAGGTCAATATTTAATTAAACAAATTAACATATCTTAGTTCAAATAAACTAAAAAATGCATGCATCAGGTTATTAATTAGGTGCACGTAACTGGCAAAATTCTACAATAGCGACTTTTTCTTTCTTCCAGTGAAATCGAAGTGTCTAGCAATTTAAAAGCCTCTTTCAAAATGACTGGCTATATTACAAGACACGACATAATTCTTTTACTCTCGATCAGAGGTATCAAATTTGAATATTGAGAAAGGAAAATCTCCAATTGGATTTTAAGCTTTATTTTAATATTAATTTAAAGTGCATAATTCCTAATTGTATATTACACCAACATCTCCTACTAGTGAGCGCTTTTCTATTAGTGGAGTACTTCAAATATCGTGAATTCAAATTAGTCAGATTCATAAATTTCTAATATCAAAGAGTTAAACTATAAAGCACGCAAGAGTATTGAGGATAGGCTTTCTTTATCTTTATCTTCATGAATAATTGTGTTGGTGTGACATTTTAATATTAATAAAAATATATGATGTCACATTATGTATTATGTTATGTCTATTGGTGGACATTACATTTGTGCTTCTTTACTCTCATCAATAGTGGAAGAAAGTAGTCATTAGTTGTTAGTAACTTATGTAACCACCAACTCTTCATTTCACCCATTATTCTATCTTTTAAGTCTTGTAACTTATGTAACATTTGGGCTAGGGGCGGATCTAGTAAGGTTCGTGGGGGTGCCACGCCACCCACGGGCTTCGACGGAAACTCTAGTATATATAGGTATATATCTACAATATAATTACAAATACTAAATGTGCTACCCAAGGAACCAAAAGGCCTTGTGGTGCGGCTGGCTAAGGGTCATATTCTAACACGGAGGTTGCAAGGTCGAATCTTGTTGAGGCCCTGACAGTTTTTTAATTTGCAATTTTAACTTGCTCCCTTAATATGACAACGGCACATTATTTTTTTTTTGTTTGTTTCTAATAGTTGTCTTAATATGGAGTAGTAATTTATAAGTATATTTCACTAGCGTCTTACTTAAAACGTGATCTATTTATAAATACAAGCAATGATATCGTCATTGATCATTTTCAAAATATGAAAATTTGTCAAGCACAATTATAAATGAATGATGAATATTTATAGTATAATTGAAAGTTTTAACTTTGTTTACTTTATGATCTCAATCAAATGTGGGGTGCAAATTTGTATTTATATATGGAGGTAGTGAAGGGAAGGGAAAATGGTAAGGTGACAATTCAAATAGTCAACCAATTGAGCTAAAATGATTTTTCCCAAATATTACGTGAGAGAAAATCTTCCATTATCGGTCTTGAATTCGACTTTCAACAAGAGCATCTAAATTAAAACGATAAACTTTTGCTCCGTTGGAGACATCTGATAAAATTGAAACAATGTGGAGAAGATTAGCATGACTCATGCATAAAGAATTTGTAGTATATATAATACATAAGTTGTCATCTTATCATTGTTCATATTTGTCATAGACCGAAAAGATGAATAATTCGACTGAAGCCTAAAATTGATTTAACCGATGAACCTACTTGGCACCCAGAGACTTGAAATCCTGAATCCGCTTCTGATTTGTGCCATTCATTTGACAAATTTACTACCCACTATCTTCCTATTCATTGCAAGGAAGAATTCATCACCTATAAATAGTGTGGTCTTCCTTCGTCTTGAGAAATAAGAAGAAGCAAGAGAAGTAGAGACAACAAGAGATACTAAGAAAGATGAGAAGTGTGAAATAATATTTTAGTGTGTACTAGTGAAAGAGAGAGCTGAGACAAAGAAAATATTCAAAGTCTTCAACTATATTCACTATATACAAAAGAGAATATTTATATATTGAAGAAATGTGTTTTTATGTGGAGATTTGAACTCTTCAACTAATTCGGAGTTGTTTGAGTTGTACACGTTGTTGGGTTGTTGTATCCTGGAGTGGACAAGTCAGGAGTGATACTGCTGGATCGGTGTAGATTATGCCGCAGTGGGCTTAAATCTCCTTAAAGAGAGCGAGAAATTTGTGTCTCAGCCTAAAGATTTGTTTATTCGTTTTTGTCATTTTATTTTCAACTGTAATTTAATATATTTACGGTATATTACACCAACAAATTGAGATGTGGGGGGTGATTTATCTCTTGCTTCATAATTAAAGTAAAATTTTATCCTTAAGGCACCGCAAAATCTCAATAGATTGATTTAGGTACTTTTAATCATCTGTCATTTAAATTTTAAGCAACTTAACTAAAAGTTTTCTTGATATCCATCTCGTTATGTGAAACGGAATGCACCATTTTATTCGAAATTTTTAAGATATATACATCGACAATATTTATAAAAAAAAATCATAATATTAATGTCATTTAACCGACTATTTACTATAAATTATATTACTAATCTATGATTCAAATTACCATAGCTAGAATATATACACTGTCTATTTAATGAACTTATATTCTGTTTTACATTGTTCTTCCTTTCTATAATTTCTCACCATACTTTTTAGTAGAAAAATAACCACGACTTTTTTTTGTTTTCGTTTTTCTTTCAATAAGTGAACAATTAATTAAATTGCATCAAAAGAAAGAGATCACTAATTATAAATGTAATGCGTATTAGTTTTGTATCTCAACTTACTTTGTATCTAATTATCTATATATCAATTCATTTAGTGTGTGTTGTATATGTTCGCTCTCTATTAAAGTAAATAGATATAACATATATAGAGCAAATAGAGATAACAAATATAAATCGAATTGATACAATTCTAATTGAACATATAAAATTCAACCTCTCATGGTGTATAACAATAACTATATACTCAATGTGATTTCATAAAGCAGAGATGAGGAAGATAGAGTGTATACATATCTCTTACTATTATTTTAGAGGTAAAAATATTGTTTCCAATAAACCATTCTGTTTACATCTCTACTCTATTCAAATAGGGCGAAACGTCGTGATGACTCAAAAAATAAACATTGGATTCAATTTTAAAAGAATTTTAAGAAAATAAGAATTTTAAAAGAGTCGCCACCTAATTCAATTTTAAAAGAATTTTAAGAATAAACAAATTTTAAAAGAGTCGCCACCTCATTTTAGGAAAAACAAGGAAACTAATTAAAAATGTCTACGAAACCAATAGATTTTAGGTAAGCGTTCAAGTTATTTCAAAGGGAAAGTGTTATGTATCCTTCGAAATCCACAACTATGGATCCCGACTGAATACATTTTTTTCAAATTGAGGAGGAGATAAAACAGTATACAAGTAAAACAAACATGCGATATTCACAAGTAATAAAACAAAACAATAATATAAAAAACTGTCTAATGTTTGCCTAACATCGATAATATATACACAATAATGAATATAAATATATTTGAACTCCATTGGAATAGCTTCAACGGAAAATAACTCCGGGGTACCCGTAAATATACTTAGTAAAAGTGTTAATAATAAATAAATATGAACAACTCAAATAACAAATTTTAAAATAAAAATCCATCTTATTAACATGGGAGGCCTTGAAAATCAACGGTAATTTCTTCATCGGCCATTTTAATTACAAAAATATATTAACCTAAACTAAATTTTCATCTTTTACAATGTAAAGGCTTCCAAAACCGACGGAGAAATTTTCTCATTGGCCAATTCTAACTTATTGAACAATTTAATAAAACATAAAGTAATTTAAATTAACCTCAAACAACATGAACAAACATAATATTAATAATAATATTACCAATAACAACACCAACAGTAACAATAATAACAAGACTAATAATAATAATAATAAACAAGAGTGTTAAAATTATATTCCAAAGAGTAAACCACACAGACTATCGAAAGATAACCTTATATAAAAAAAAAACTCATTAAAAGATTGCTGGAAAAGGACAAAGCAACATTAAATCAATAACTAAATATGATAGCTAAGTAGTTAATTTTAACATAATAACAACCGAAAATAACCAATGGACAGAAACCAAGCAACAACAATAATAAAATAATAAAAATAAATTAAATAACAACAACAAAATTGAAACAAGCAACAGAACATTTTGCAATTGAAAAATTACTATAGCTAACCAAACGTATATCCAAAAGAAAGAATATGAATATAAACACACAAATGTAATATGTAATATATAATGTAAAAGAAAAGAATGGGGTTTGTCACCGGAATTTTTTACTAGAGTAGCAATTTGTGAGCAATGTTGGTTTTCTCCGGCAGTGTGAGAATCGCTGGTGCAAGATCTGGTTAACTGATTGTGGTTTACCGGCGATGGAGCCACACTGGAGCTAGAGTCGGAGCTTCGAGCTCGCTAGTTCGCGTGAAAGCTGTAAAAACAACCAACAAAATCATGAAAGGGAAAGGGAAAGGGACTGGCAGCGAGCCTTTATTTTTTCTCCAGCTCATTGGATCTTTGAGCTTCAAACTCGTTGGAGTTCGATGGGGTTTGGAGGGTCGTTTGGTTGCTGTTTTGTGGGGTTTTGATTCGGTGTTGTTTGTTCGCTGGAAAAAAGGATTGTTTTGGTTGGGGTTTTTGGGCGGAAATGAGTGAGGTTTAGGGATCTGGTTTGAGGGAGAACGGTGGTGAGTTTGGTCGGGGAAGAGAAGGAATTGGGATGGTCGTTTATTGGAGCTTTAAGCTCACTGGAAAATGGGGTTTTTGGGTTGAGTTCGTGGAAGCGGCGAGCAGGTGGTTGGAAAGAAGAGTAAAATGAGCGTCTGGAGTGACTCCGGTGGTGGAACTTGGTTTGTTTTCCGGTGGGTCTGATTTTTGATGAAGGAAATGGAGCAGTTGTTGGTGGTCTTTGTGGGGTTTCTAGTCGGAAAAAGTGAACAGAGAAAAGAGAGGCTGTGTGGTTTGGGAGGAACTGACAGTGAAGAGGAGAACAAAGAAATGGAATTTTTGGTGGTGGACTCGCCGGATCCCGGCGGAACTCCGGCGACTTGCCAGAAAATAATGAACAATTAAAGAATAAAAAATTTGTAATTTACCCCCTAAAAATTTTATCCACCACCCTTGACCTAATGAATAAGTCATTGTTTATATAGAAAATAAAAAATTTCCTATAGTACAGTATCATTCTTTTAAAATCGTGCACCAAAATCATTAGCCTTTAAAAATATCTGTGCATGAAATTTTATCCATATTCGAATGAATTTTTAGAATGTGCAAAATATCAAAATTAATATTGACAAATATAACAAATATAATGATTATTAAAAAGTATAATGAATGTAGCTAATGATATGTAAAAAATGCAATTTATCAGAACTAATGATGTAATCAAAATGAATAAATATTAGAACGTAGTCAACTGGTTGTGACAAAAAATAATGTAATTAAAATTAACTGATCAAAAAAATTCTAAATTTTGACAAATAAGGATAGTTATCGATAAATTTATTTAAAATTATTAAAAATGTACTTTGAACTATTAAATAAATAAAAACTTAAAAGTTAAAAAAAAATTAAAATGTTAGATCAAAATTGGATATCAACACATTCAATTCAAGAAAAAAATAATTTGAAGTAGTATAGAAAAAAGAAGAACAAAAATGAAGTCAATTATTGTAAAAGACTACAGACAATCTAACTAATCATCTCAAATATTCTCTCTCTTCAACGATAGTAGTCAATTATACTAAAAGTAGTTATCCAACTATACTTGTCCAATTTAGAAATCAAAAGATAATTTATCTTTTGTGTCTATTTTATCGTTGTCATTAAATATTATTACAGATTTTCAAAGTATTAAATTTAATAAAATCAAAAGATAAAATATGATATTATTACCTCTATTATTTATTGTTTCTTAAGAAATATGTCAAGTTAATAGTGGATAGCTATGTTGAATAGAGAGAGTATTAATCACAATAAAATACAATAATAATTTAAAATATAAAAAAATCCACGAATGATAACTAAACTCAAAAAGATAAGAAACTGGGAGAATAATAAATCTCTAGTTGTGTGTATTATAAAACTTTTTAAACTCACCTTATTTGGAATAACCATAAATAAATGACATATTGTAGGTATATTTCTTGAATGTCCTTATGAGTTGTAACCTCCTCCTTAGAGGCGGTAATTAGTGGGAATTTTAGCCTCAGTTGTTCCGCGTCTGGAACACACCCACCCACCTTCTCTTCTTCCGATCCGTAAGTAATCAATTAAGCGGCTTTTGACACATTCCTCTCCCTTTGCCCATTTACAAAACTAGATTCAAAATAAATCTCTTAATTCTCTCATATATATATTATAAGCAACATACCTAAATCTCTAACCGACTCTTCTCTCACCCTCTTCAATCTAGCTATCTTTTCTTCTGATCAATTAATTTCTCCTAATTTTTCTGATTCAGCTCCACAAACTTGAACAATTTATCAATGGGGAGCGGAAATAAACACCATCACAATCATCATCTGAATTTCCATGTTCAATTTTATTTTCCATTTCACCTTCATCATCATACGAAGGAGGAATTGAGGGATACAGTACCGAGAGGATGCGTTACGGTGTTGGTGGGTCAAGGAGATGAGGAGCAGCAGAAATTCGTGATACCAGTAATGCATATCAATCATCCTCTCTTCACACAATTGTTAAAAGAAGCAGAGCAAGTCTACGGATTTCATCACAATGGTCCCTTAAATATCCCTTGTAATATCGACGAGTTTCGTTACGTTGAGGGCATGATTGATAAGGACGTTCATCACAACCACCATCATCACCTGTGGTGCTTCAAAGCCTGATTTTATATCTTAGTTGTAGTATTACTAATGACGACGATGAAAATTTATATAGTTGTAAATACTTGTAGTTCGATTTCTCACATGATAACTCAATTAGTTATGTTGAGCAATATGGTCACGATTTAGAACTCACTCTATTTATTATACCTTCTTTTGAAATTAACGATTTAAGTATTGTAACGAGGAATTGGCGTGCTAATGATCAGATTAATGTCTTCTCGGTTGAGTTTTTGTTACGTTACTGATTAGTGATTATATTCCCCATTAATTAGCTAGGTATATATTTGGACGACTCAAAACTGGATTAACAAACTTGTAGCTCTAAATCGATGAATTAGTCCCTAGTTTGGGTAATTACATATAATTTTTTCTAGATTTGTTTGCACTAATTACACGATCAAATTGAGGGTTGATAAGTTCTTATGTTCCTTGATGTTTTGATGATCTCCTCACAAGAGCTTATGCCTTTTGGTGTTTTGATGATCTCCTCACAAGTGCAGGGACCTGGTCCTCTGCAGAGTATGAATACTCGTCCAGTGGTCAAAGTGCTGAACAGCTGGAAAGTTGTCTGCGTCAGAAAGTTGGTGAAGTTGCAGCGTACTCCACCAATCAGAAGTGACAAGGTTGCTTGTTCATTGGATAATAACTTTTCATGTCTAAATATATATTCAAGAACAAACAACAAATTATTCATTCATTCAAAAGAGATTTTTCAAGCTTCAAAAATAGCAGGGACCTGATCAATTGCTTCAAGTGCTTCCTGTATCAGTTGTTAATTTTGTTTGCTTGTAATCGTGCTTACATTGTAGGAATCGTTTCGCTTGTGAAAGAAACATTTCAAATTTGTGTAAATCATTGTAAGAACTAGGTTAACGGTAACTTAGGGTCTTACTCTAAAGTCTTTAATAATCGGTCAAGATTATTATAGTGGGCAGTGTTGTATCTACTTAGTCAAAGTCTAAATCATCTAGGAGCTAGTTGATTTAGTGGGCGGTGTGGTATCTGCTTAGCAAAGTCTAAGTTATCTAGGGGTGATGGCTTAGTGAGCAGTGTTGTATCTGCTCTGGCTCATCTGAGTAATAGGAGGTATTGCTTAGAGTTAGAATTAGTAGGCTAATCTCAGTTTGTAAATTTGCTTTTACTTTTGCTTGAGAAGATTAGTGAAAGCAGTTTTTGAAAAGTCCTGGCAGGCCAGGTCGTGGTTTTACTCCCTTAAGCAAGGAGGTTTCCATGTAAAGTTATTGTGCAATCTTTACTTTCAGCACTTTGTTTATTTTCTGTTATTGTAAATGTGCTGAGGACCTGGTCCCATCTAGACTAGTGGACGCATACATTCCAACAAGGTTGAACAAGTTGGCGTTTCTATAATGGAAAATTCTAGTTTTCTATGTTCACTCAAAGGAGATATTTATTCGATCGGTCAAGTCAGCTTTATGAAGTTGTTGCATGTAAAACTTTACTGGCATTAATTGCTGACCTAATACAAATACTAAGCATATTATGACCGGTGAAAACTTTTAGTTTATATATATAAAATTTAAATCCTTTGGAAATTGGTTGCAAGGCTCAAACACTAGCTTTCGTTTATACTTGGGAAAAAAAGTGCGTAAAATGTGAAGAACTTCGACAAAGAAAACCCTTAGCTATAGTATTTTTTTTCATATCTTATAGAATTAGACAATTCGTTATTTTATCTTTAAATAAGAATAACTATTTCGAAATTAGCGATTTCAGCCAATATGAAATAAAATTAATTTGTATCTTGCCGATTATTATACTTGTAAGTTGTAACTCACGATTTATGGTTTGATGAGTTTGGGCGGTGAACTAATTATTGTCAAGTGTCGGCAGAGACAAGTCATTAATTTCATGTCTGCTCTCTAATTAAATGTGTATTCATATTAGTAAAATAAAAAGTTGATCATCTATCGAAATTTTGTGTTTTACGTCCCCAAAACAACAAATGGTCCAAAATTTATTCGATTTTATTCCAAGAATTTGGCAGTCAATCATTATAAATTTAAGATTTTTAACAAGTTCTACCTTTTAGAAAGCAATTAATTAAGGGTATAATAGGTAAAAAGAATTTATCTTTTCTTGATTTGTTAAATTAGACAAGTAATAAGGGACAAATAAAAAAAAAATAGGACAAGTAATTAGGGATAGATGGAGTATTTCTTTTACTATCTCATATTAATTGTCTCTCTTACTAAATTAAGAAAGTGTTAATTAAAAGGAAATTTTTCTATATCACCTTTGCTGTTAATTCTTTTTAAGAGTATTCACATTTATTTATAAATTTTTCAATTTTTAAGAGTGAATTTAAAATTATCTTTCTTATTTATGATTTTATTAATATGAGTGTATAAAAAGAAAAACAATCAACTAATATAAGACCACGAAAATATAGGTTTGACTTTTGAGAGTTGTGAATACGTCAAAGGAAGATCTTATAGAGGAAAGCTCAGGAATATTTGGTCATTCAAGTACTAGAATCTCACAAGTTACAACACAAAAGTTGCTACTTTGTTTACTCGGCTCATTTTAAATGTATTTGTCCTAATTTTCTTTTTAGTTCATTTTAAAGAAATCTTATAATACTGGTTCCATGCATGAAAAATTAGTTTGAAAATGATAACTAATGTTTCAATCTCGAAGTGATACTCTTACATTTTCTATTTTTATAGATTATTGCAAAACCTCATTATAATAATCATGTTTATCGGATCATGATCATCATATGTCGTAGGTCATCTTTTAACATTACTGACAATTTAAGTTTTCATAAATTTCGCATAAGGAAAAAGCTTGTTTCATATATATATATCGTAGAAACAATTAGATTTTCAACCTTTTACTTTGCATTACCCTAACGAAAACCTCCAAATGGACCCTTTTTGAAAAATCATTCATTAATGAAGGCCTTTCCATAGACCATAGTTATTACTTTGTCCTAAACCTAAAGGCAAAGGATTCAGAGTACCCCAGCACCTTGTCTTCTATTTTGGAGTTCTTATATAAATTCACCATGACACCTCACCTTGCAAGGCAATTTATATCTGTCAACCCTTATTAAGTATATAGTACCTAAAAAAATTAGTACCAAATGTGTTGGCCCCATATTATTTTTCTGATTTACTGTCTTGAATCTATTGGTCCCCTTAAAATCCCATGTTCTAAAGGAAGTAAACAGTTACACTTGTGGTGTGTGGAAATTTT